GTGGACTTCCTTGTACCACAGGTCTATAGCCAGGGCTGGTCATATGCCTGTTTCACACACTGCCAAATGAGGAAGGATTGGTGTGACCAATTTGGGAAAAGCCAGAATTTCTTTTCTGTTAAGACTGAATTACTACTACCTAAACAAATATCAGGGTTTTATGAATAAGAAAGGAGGTATGTAACACAGAAAGTTTAAATTCACAATTTCGGTGATACCAAACAACCCATAAACCTAGCTGGTGCTGGTTGGAGAATATTAGTCAATCAACTGGTTTTGAAAACTGGGAGATTAAAAGAATCAAATGTTTATCCTGCTTTTCCAATATCATATGGGAAATCAAACTATTAATGAAGTTTCCCTTTTTATAAAATATTCCAGTAAAGAAGAAAGGATAGTTAGGATATCACCATCTCTAACATCTACTGAATTAAGAGAGAGAATGAATGAATGAACGATGGACAGTGAATAATATTGAAACGCAATGCATCTGTGTATGAAGATAGTATAATGTAATGTGCTGAAAACTGCTGAACTGTAAGAGTAAATATTAGAGAGGTTAATTTGATTAAATCTGTAGCAAACAAGGACCTGCACCCTTGGTGTTCTTACCCTCTCTCTCCTCTTCACGCTTAGCTCCAGCAAAACTGACCTCCTGGTTTTCCTCCTTTACTTGCATCACTGAAGTAAACTTGATACTTGTAAATTTATTACCAGATTCAATTTACTGATATTTTATTTACATTTCCTATGTCTTTGTTAAATTTTGGTATTAGTATAATACTGGCTTGGTTAAAACATTAAACACTTGTCTAATGTCTCATTTTAAAGATTTTGAGGCCCATAAAATGTTAAATGATTTATAAATTTCATCTTCTTCCCTAACTTCTATGTCTAGTCTTGTTGACTCCAATTACTAAATTTTTCTCAAATCTACTTTCTGTTTTTTTTTTTTTTTTTTCCATACTGGAGTTTGAACTCCGGGCCTAAACCTTGAGCCACTCCACCAGTTCTTTTTTTTGTGATTTTTTGTTTTCGATATAGGGTCTCTTGAACTATGTGCCTGGGTTGGCTGGCTTGGAACCTTAATCCTCCTGATCTCTGCCTACTGAGTAGCTAGTATTAGAGGTGTGATCCACTCCATTTTCTCCTGTCTTTAAGCCCACTCCACTGTCGCACTAAGGCTGTTGGTGCTCTGCCTAGGCTGAAGCAAAAGACCTATTAGCCTCAGGGCTCACCTTTATACTCACTGGCACAGCAGCGGACCTGCTCATCCCAAGGAAATCGTGTCATCTTCCTGCTAAAATCCTCTGTGGGATCCTGTCATACATCTTCTTATTACATTACAAGGCCTTTTACTTGGCCTATTTTCCTTTCTAACTCATTTGGAAAGAGGCTACATGATCAAGTGAAAGATTAGAATCAGAGATGAATTTGAATCCTAGCTCATCCTAATAGTTATATGACCCTAAGCAAGTTACATAAGTGTCCACTGTCTCCTCTAAGAAGGCACACATATTATTTAGCAAGTTATGCTAAAGATTGAGATAATGTACTATAAAAAAAACAGCCAAGAAAACAGTCAAGAAATTATTGCAACTTTAATCTTCAAAAAATGGGGTTTTTTTTTGGGTTTCTTTCCTAAATTTTTTTGTTTTTAAAACAAGCTTGATACAGAAAAAAATTTTAATGTTTCACTGACAAAATTGTTATGTTTATAACGTACAAAATGTTTTGGCACCGTGGAATGGGTGACTTTTTTCTTTTTGTGACAGCACAGCCCAGGAGAGCATGGTGGTGGTGCTGTAATCACATCATCACTGCGGAGACTCAGTTTAGGGTCAGCCTCGGCTGCATAGGAAGACCAGTCTCAAAAACAACACAAAACAAACCTACAAAACTTAGTGGCTAGTCTCTTAGCAACTTCAGGAATAAAATACACTGTTATTAAATGTGGACACCACATTGCACAATAGCTCTCTTTACTTGTTCCTCTTACTTAACTCAAATTTTGTAACGGCTGATCACTCTCTCTCCTATCTGCCCCTTTCCCCAGTTCCAGGCACTGGCCACCATCATTCCACTCTCTGCTTCTACTTTTTGGATTCCATATGAGTGAGATCAGGAGGTGTTTGTCCTTCCCTGCCTGTTTATTTCATTTAATATAATGCCCTCCCAGCTCCTCCATATTGTGACAAGTGACAAAATTTCTTTTTAAAGGCTGACTGGTTTTTAACAAGGCTGCAGTCTCTTCAATAAAAGGAGCTGGGAAAACTGGATTATCCATATGCATTAAGAAATGAGACCCTATTTCACACGAAATACAAAATCGACTCAAAAATGGATTCAAATCTGAACCTAAGACTTGGAATTTAAGACCCTAAATTCCCTCAAACTTGGGAACCCTGGAGAACCCTAACCCTGGAGAAGGTGGGGTGTCTGTCCCACGGGGGACTTCAGGAAAAGGCGGAGGTGGACCGGCGGGCGGCGCGGTGCGCAGTCCCCAGGGTCTGGTCCGAGGGGCGGGGGTGGCCAGGGAGGGCGGGGGAGGGGCAGGCGCTGTCCAGGCCCCCTCCCCTCGGCCGCGCTCCCACTCCTTCCGCTCCCGGCCGGGCACCGGAGCGCAACCAGCCGAGGCCGGGCCGCTACAGGGGGAGGCGCCAACTCGTCGCGGAGCAGGGCCCTTGACCAAGCAGTAACCGCGACGCAGGAGGCGGAGAGGACGCGGCTCGGGCCTGCGCTGAGGTAGGGAGGTGGAAAAATGGTGTGGGAGGCTGAGGGGAGGCGCGGAACCAGAAGCTGGCAGCTTTCAGGTGTGCCAACAACAGCCTACCCCGCCCTGGCCGCCGTAACCGCAGCGAAGCGGCCGCGGGGGCGAGAACTGCGCCCCAGCCCAGGGCCTAGGCGTTATCGCGCATGCGCAAGTCCACTGCGTGGGGGCTGGGTGGGAAGCTCGGAGGCTACACCCTTGCCCAGGCCACTGGCCGAGGCTGCACTGCGCTGCGCATGCGCGAGTCCGCGGCCAGGGTGGTGCGCTTGGTTGTGGGGACTCATTCCCTCCAAAGCGCTGAGCCGGTGCGTTACTACGCATGCGCAAGTCCCTGGCCTGGGGGGTCGCGCTTGGCGTCTTTCCCGGGCTGTTGCTTCCCTGGAGGCTGCTGCTTGTCTCAGGCGTTTGTGATAAGCAGCGACCCTAGTTGTTTCTCCTTCTGTTTGCACTCATCGCTCAGTGTAGGCTGCCGATGTTGTCATTTCTGTCGCCTCGACCCGTGTCACCTGTTGTCTGGCTCCCGTGCCCCAGCGACTCGGTGGCAATTTATGCTTTTAGACCTTTGGCCCCTGGAAGGATAGCGCGGAAAGTTTGCTTGCCACGCGAAGTTGTTTTGGAACAGATATGGAGAGACTGGGAGAAATCGCCGCACCTCTTTATCTAGGAGACACAGCTGCGCCCAGACCGGAAGTGGAGGTTTTCGGATGTTGAAAACTCTCTGTCTTAGAGGACGTAGACCTTCCTGCCTGAGGTGGAAGGCGAGTCCAGAGTGGATTCTTTGCTTTTGTACTTTGCACAGTTATAAAAATTGTTGTAACAGTTTGACTCGAAGACTGTAACAAAGTGCATGTACTAGAGCTGCCTTGTATCATGCCTGCCTTCTCTTAATCTTTTTCCTCTGAATAAGAGTGGTCAAGTTCACAGTGCCTTGGAACATTGCTCTTTCCCTTAGACTCCAAAGTGACAGTCCCTAGTTCACGTTTATTGACTCCTCTAGCATTACATCGTCGTAATACTGAGTTCCTGCTTGGCTTTACACCTCTCTGGGTTGTGGTTCTTAGTTATGTAAATTGTGACACCTGGGACAACTGTGAAGTGTTTGTAATAATGTAATTACTGTGTGCCTTGCAGTCATAAAATGTGCAGGTACAGACATTTGGAGACTGGAATAAAAAAGACTTGGAGGATCCGAATTCTCTAGGTGAACTGCAGTCTCTTTCCTACGTACTAGGCACCCTATGTATTAAGTAGCAGGGAAGGCAATGATACAGCCCCGCTCACTCCACCCGACCCAGGCCCTGTGGGTGTTGATGGACTTGCCAAGCGGGCTTTAACCATCTTGGCCTGAGCATTTGCTATTTCCGACATGCTCAAAGCTTACTTTTCTACTTCACCCAAGTGTGCATGGCACCGGACTGTATTCAAGTCTTCAAACAATTATGATCACTTCAGAGAAGTGGCTGCCCCATCTGAAATAGCATTGCTCTGGTTCTCCAACCTCTTACTCTGCTCTTTTGCCTCTGTAGCACCGGATCGCTATCTGATATTATATACTTGTACGCTTGTCATCTGTCTCTCCCATAATCAGAGCTTGACAGGTGTTTGTTAGCTTTATAAATGAAATTGGAATTTAATGTTCAGAGAGATTTTGTCCTGACCGTGGATTCATTCAACAAATATTTATTTTGTGTCAGGTTCTGCCCTAGGTGCTTGGGATTTATCCCAAAAGATCCTTCTGGAATTTATATTCTGGTGAAAATGATGTTAAAAAAAATCACCATTTATGTCAGAAAATTATAAATGCTATGAAAAAGTGAAACAGAGGGAATTGGAGTGCAGACATGGGTTGCAATTTTAGACAGCATGGTGACTGGGAGTCTGGGATAAATTGAAGGTGGTGTTGAAGGTTGGAGAACTGGGGTGTAGAATTCAGTATCCTTCTGGGAGAAAATTTTCATTAGCATGCTCTATTGTGTCTTTCATGGGAGTCCTCAGGATGATCATTGTGACAGATGTCACCATCCTTCACATTTATCAGGTATCTTAACATCTCTTTAAAAAATTGGATTAGTTTATAAGGAACTAAATTGCAAATGGATTTATCACGTAGCAGCTCATGTTATTCATATAACAACTTAATTTTCTTTTTTTTTGCAGTACTGGGGTTTGAACTCAAGGCCTCATGCTTGCTAGACAGGTGCTCTACCACTTGAGCCACTCCACCAGCCCTTAAATTTTTTTTATGGTTTGTTAAATATTTTTCATATGTGAAAGTGACAATTTTCGCTGTGTGTGGTTGAAAAGGCCAGTATTGAGGAGCTTGGTAGTTTCTTCAAAGTAAATACAGTGTTGCTTTAGACCAGTCTGCCCAAAACTCTTGGTGAAATTTGGAAACCTTTTTTACAAATAAATAATTAAAATAGCAACTGTGTTTTGGAGTTCTAAATCTAAGTTTGCTGCTTTTCATAAACAAATGGCAGTGCTGTATCCGTTGAGGTTGTGCAGTAGTTGTTGAATGAATTAGTTTTCATTGTTCTTTTAGTTTTTTAGTTTTGTTCACTTATATTTGTTCCATTTTAATTAGCAACTATGTAGGTATCTGCTATTATTTAGTGTTGATGTCCAGGAACTCATTCAAGAGGAGCTAAATTACAGCAACACTGTCCTTTTTTGCAAGTGACAATTAGGATCATGTTTTATTATTTTGTATTATATATATTTATATTTGCTATAACTTAAGGATAACACTAAAAAAGCAATTAGTGATACCATCCAGTGACTCAGCAAAGCATAGATTTGGGGTTCATTATTATCCCATTGACATTTACTAGATGTGAGGTTCTTAAATGAGTCTATAAACTGTGGTGGTGCTATAAGACATTAATTTTGTTTAATTTTCTGTTTCTTTGATTAGATAAGCATCATTTAATGTGTTGCCCAAGTGGGAGAATTTGTTAGTAGCATTGGATTCTATATTGCAGAAGAACCTTTTTTTAAAAAAAGGTATATATTATGTTTCTCAATCATGGCTTCAGAGCTGACCTCATTCTATCAAATTGGATCTAAGAGCAACTAACACTGAGAGTTCTCTGTAGAAATTCCTAATTTTTTTCTTCTGGGATCACTTCTAAAGAATAGCTATCAGCATTTGGAAGCTCCTGATTAACTGTAAAATGTCAGGTTTTTTTGGGGGGGGTTGGGGGCTCAGAGTTTGAACTCAGGGCCTATTGGCTCCTAAGGCCCACATGAGCTGGGTAAGTGGGTATGAACCCTAAGAGCTGGATATTCCTTTGCTCCACATTATTGTGTTTTCTCTTTTACGTATTTGCTTTCCACTTATTGTCTACTACAGGCAATAGATCAATATTTGTTGAATGAGTTAGGCAAATGAATGTATAATCTGTTTACCTCATGTAGGTCAGGTATTATTAAGTAAGATGACACATTGTGTAGCAGGCACACTGAGTAATGCTGATTACCAAAAACCATGTACAGACTGTCGTATGCTTTGTATAGGGAAATGAATTATCCTTTCTATTCTCTGAGGATTAGGATTGGACATGTTTGTCACATTATAAAAAGACCATCTTCTTGTCTCCTAGTCCTGTATAGTTATTAAGGTTAGAGAAAACTGTCAACATGCAGTATGTTTAAAGAAGGAGTTCACTGTCTCAAACAAGGATAATTTGGAAATAAATTGTTGACCCATACAAGTTTAGGAAAATAACTGGAATAAGATATGTCATGTAACACATGACCTTGATAGATATTTGGCTTTGAAAAATTACTTTCGCAAAAACTTGCAACATTGGCTTTTGAGTGTCCGACTTAGAGCATGGATTGGCAAAGATAAGCAGCAATAGCTTATGTTTGGTCCTGACCCTCCCATGTTTGCAAAAACTTGCAACATTGGCTTTTGAGTGTCCGACTTAGAGCATGGATTGGCAAAGATAAGCAGCAATAGCTTATGTTTGGTCCTGACCCTCCCATGTTCTCTCTCTATTGCATGGTAAGTGTTGGTACAGTAAGAACCTGTAATACCATTTTTATTACATTTGAACAAAATGAAGAAATGTGCAGGAAATTTACTTTACAAAGCACAAAGTACTTTTAATTCAAACACCTATATACATGAGGTAAGTCATATATCCCAAAACAAATAGGTAAGGGGAAAAAATAATAAAGTAACGTAATAGGATAATAAGATGATCTTTCTATCATGCCATAGTAGGATCTCTGGAATGATCTTATGCTATGACTCTGTCATTGCATATGCCAATACATACAAATGCCAGCCTCTGTCTACAAGAAACACTGCCCTCCTATGCATTAAAAGGGGAATTTTATAAGCAGACAGACCAGAAGTAGAAAACACAGTATTGTTATTCTAATGTTAACTTTTTTTTTTCTAATTTGGGTTTTTTTTTGATGGCATGTAAAATAATACTCTTTATGTTATTATTCTCCTGTAACATTGATAAAATTTTATTTTAGAGATGGTGAAGAAATTATGGTTTATGAATTGCCATTATCAATACTTTGTTCCAATTCCTGTGTCCATGGAATTGGACAAAATCAAATTGGTGTTACCCCGATTCTAAGATTTTGTTTTGATATTGGGTAATCTATTTCCTCAAACTGCGATAAATTCCTTAATTTAAGCTTAAAAATCTTGAAAACTATCTTGTTAATGGACAATCCATAGCATAAACATTCACCGATAGAATTACATGAGATTAAAAAAATTCTTTTTCTTTTTTGGTGGTCCTGGGGTTTGAACTCAGGGCCTTACACTTGCTAGGCAGGCACTCTACCACTTGAACCACATACCTAGCTCTGGGATCTTTTACTTTTGACATTACCTCCATCAAAACTTTCCAATGAAAAACATCCCCATCAATGTCCAGCCACACGTGTATCTACAATACACTAAAGAGGTATTGTTTCATGCATGTTTTAAAATTTTATCAAATGGTATATTTTTTGTGTTACTTTGTGACATAGCAATTGGTCAGCATTGTTGATTCTACATAATTTGTTTTAATTGTTCTATAGTATTCGTATGGTAGTTTGTCAGTTCTCTTGTTAGATTCTGTTAGTCAACTCTTATTTCTTATTTGTTTTTTTGCTCTTGCAAGCAATTGTATATACTCTATAGAGTTCATCTAGGTCAGTTCTTCCAAACAATGGGGCATGATTCATTAATGATTTTGAAATCATTTATCCAACATTTTTGTTTACATTGAAGTAGAACAGGATAAAGTAGGACAGTGCAGGATAGCACAGAAGAGCATAAAATAGACAAAATGAAAAAGATGTCACCATGCATTTGATGTAGTAGTAAGAATTATTTTGTGAAATTTCTATTTCAGTTACATGTTAGTCAGCTGGGTAATTTTGATAAAATACCTGAGATAAACAACTTAAAAAGAGGAAAGATTTATTTTGAATCACAGTTTCAGAGGTTTCAGTTCATTGTTGTTTGGTCTCATTGCTCAGGGCCCATGGCAAGGCAGTACATCATGGTAGGGCTCACTTGGTGGGGCACAGCTGCTCACCTCATGGTGTGGCCCTTAATCCTAGAGGGAGAGACAGTGACCTCCTTCCTCCAACGAGCACCTCCCCCAAAGTTTCTGCTGCCTCCCAATATCCCATGAAGCTATGAATCCATTAGTGGATCAATCTGTTGATGAAGTCAGAGCTCTCAGGATCCAATTATCTTCCAAAGGCCCTACCTCTGAGCACTGCTGCATTGGAGACCAAGCCTTCAATAAATGAGCTTTTGAGGAACATGTAAGATTCAAACTACAACAAGTTACTTTATATGTGTCAAAAAAGATGAAAAGATGTTGTGGTGATCTAAATACTGTGACATTACTCTCCGCAGTGATTGTACTAATTTACAATGATGTGAGTGTGTCTTTTGATCAGTGTCCTCTATGGTATGAGGTTTTGTCCCTTTGTAATGTTGCAGATCTTATGGGTAGAATTGATTTCACTCTGGTTGCATTTCCATGATAAATTCCACGGTGAATTTGAGTATCTTTTAATATGTTTATTATTTTCTTCTTCTGTGAATAGCATTATTCTCTGCCCATTTCATAATCATGTTGTATTGTTCTTTTGATATTCAGGCATTCTTTATTTTTTTTTTATTTTTATTTTTTTACTTGATCTTGGTTATTTATTTTATTTTTATTTTTATTTTTTGATCTCACAATTTATTTCCATTCTTTTTTTAGATTAAAATTTTATTATTATTATTATTTTTTCATTTTTCTTTTATTATTCATATGTGCATACAAGGCTTGGTTCATTTCTTCCCCCTGCCCCCACCCCCTCCCTTACCACCCACTCCGCCCCCTCCCTCTCCCCCCCCAATACCCAGCAGAAACTATTTTGCCCTTATTTCTAATTTTGTTGTAGAGAGAGTATAAGCAATAATAGGAAGGAACAAGGGTTTTTGCTGGTTGAGATAAGGATAGCTATACAGGGCATTGACTCACATTGATTTTCTGTGCAGGGGTGTTACCTTCTAGGTTAATGCTTTTTGATCTAACCTTTTCTCTAGTACCTGTTGCCCTTTTCCTATTGGCCTCAGTTGCTTCAGGCATTCTTTATATACTTTAGATACTAATCCTTTGCCAACTGTCAGTTGTATATAATATCTTCTATTCTGTGGCATAATTTTCCCATTGTTCAAATTTACCAGTCTTTTCTTTGTGGTTTATGCTTTCATATCTTATTTTGGAAATCTTTTCCCTGACCTAAAGTCATAAATATATTTTCTGTGTTTCTGAAAGGTTGAAAGGTTTTTTACTTTCCATGTGGTTTCTCTTTCATTTTCTATGTTGAAATAGTACAGATTAAACTTTCTTTAGTATGCGCTTTTACATATGTTTCACTGTCTAAATTGTTAAAAGCTCTCTTAGAACTTAGAAAATATAATATCCAAAAGCTCTGACTTGACTTAAAAATTATATTTTACCATTTTATTTGAGTACCTCTACTGCTGACTTTTTCTTAATAGAGCTGATACAATTTAAAAATATTCTTCTCAGATTAATAACAGATTGTTAAATTTACAAGATGGAGTATTCTGTTTTTCTTTTAATGGAATTTATGTATTTATATTTTCAGCTGCATTAACTTTGTTTTAGAAGACAACTTTATAAGGATCTAGAAGGAATAAGATTAAAGATGATCAAATAGTGGGCTCCAGAAATTTAGAATAATCAGGTACAAATGTTTTTTGAGGGACTGGTCCTAACTAGTCCATATAAAATAGAACTATTTGGAATGTAGACAGGAAAAACTTAAATTATCTGAACAATACCGTAGAGGGTCAAAGAGGAAGGACTGAATCTATTCTGGGTTTAATACTAACTCTGATCCTGATTGGCTGGTGACTTTTGCTCAAGTTATTGAAACATATCCATAAAATAGAGGCAATGATTTTACCGTATACCTGTGGTTATTTATTAGGATATTATAAAGATTAAATGAAATACTGTTAGCACTTAATGTCCGACACAAGGTAACTTTTAAGTGTTATTGTTACTGTTGTTATTTGGAATATATGCTTATTACATCCTGAATGTGATTTTCTGTATGTAGATTGTGGGTTTTTTTTTTTTTTTAAAGGCTGTGCTTATCTACTTCTACAGTGTTAGAAATAGTAGCCTGGCAATGTTCATGTGGATAACAGGGTAGGGTAACTATAATCTCCACATAGTCAAACTATGTGTGTACCACATTGGAATTATGGGGAAAAAGCCAACCATTTTCTATACAAAACTAGGGAATTTAACAATTTTTCTGTATTATTGTAGAATAGTTAATACTGAATCACTTTTAAGTCTTAAAGGGCTTTTAAATAATAAAACATGAAATTATATACATACTTTTTTTTGGTGGCACATGGGGCCTCATGCTTGCTAGGCAGGTGCTCTACCACTTGAGCTGTTCCACTAGGCCATGAAATTATACTAATCTTGTATTTA